GTTCTCATTTTTTACCAATTCTATTCTTCTTTTTTTTTTTTGTCTTCTCTTAGCCACTGCTTTTTCTACTTTTTTTTTTCGTTTTTTAGTTGTTTTTTTTTTTAGTAAGAAAAAAAAAAGTACTAATTCTTAGTTCCCTGTAATTTTTTATGTGAAATAGTGTTCAATGAAAAAAAAAAATGAGGAGAAAATACACACACACAAACACAGACAGACAAATGTTGACTTTTCTTTGTTCAAATAAAGTTTATTTTCACACACACACACACACCGATAGAAATACAAATAGAAATACAAATACAAAAACATATGTGTCTGAAAACCTGAAAATTTTAGCGTAAATGTATTTATTAAAAAAAAAATTGAACAAAAAAAAAAAAACTACAACTTTTTTTTTATTCATTTCTGTTTTTTGACGTTGTTTTTTTATAGATCGGTTAAAAGATGCCGCCGATAGTTTTGATAAAAAAAGTGAAGATTCTGAAGAGCTATTGTTGACCGCACCTTTTTGTACATCCCAAATAGATCAGTTGTCCGGTAAATCAAACAGTACACAGCATCGACATACTGTTGATGCTATGCTTCAGAAAAGATATTTGAAAACTAAAGCAAGACTAAAATTGGTTGGCAATGTGGAAGTGCCAATAGACTGGTTGATTCCGCTGCTATTCCTTCTGGTACTGTTTCTTCTCATCACCACTGTTGTATTGCTCAGTGCTGTGATCATCCTATCTGTTAAACTAAAATCTACTACATGGAATCCTCAGATCAGTTCAACATTGCCTGATTCATACAACTTAAGCCTCAACGAGGAAATGTTCTATAATTCAGTGGTTCGCCAAGATTTGAAACAGGTAACCAACCACTTGAATACGTTTCATTTTTGTAGCATTTAAAAAAAAACTGATAACAATTATTACATTTCCGTTATCAGAAAAGATCAAAAATCTTTTAGATTTCAGCACAAAACATTACTGGACATTTCTTTTTTGCGGCTAAAAAACAGTGTAAAATCTATTCATTCATTAAATTATTATTATTTGAAAAACATTGTACCACTCTCTCAATAGTTTTGCGTAGAAATGAGCATTAAAAAAAAGTCAGTGATTTTATCAGATCTCAGTGATTTTTTCAATATGGTGGGATTGAAGCAGAAACCGTTAAAAACCTTATAAATTTGCAGTTTCTTTTCTCTCTTTTTTTTTGTCAAAAATGTAGAAGAAGAAGAAGCAAAAATTGACTCATTTAAATATGTATCTAATTGTGTTTTCAGTTTTTTTTATAACAATCACCTTCAATATACTTTTGAAGTTTAACTTTTTTTTTCCTTTTCTTTTCTTCCACTGTTTTCATCTACATTTTTGTTTTCTATTACACTTAGTTTCTGTTACCAATTAGATAAAGTAATTTGAAGTAGCCAAAAAAAAAGAAGCTTTTTTTTTACATTCTAAATTAATAAGATTAGAAAAACTATTGTTATGTTTAATGAGCTGTAAATGTCAAAAATTAAGTCTGCCCAATGAAAAAAAAAAAAAAAGGAAAATGGATAATTAAATTTGTCTTTTCAGTTTTCATTGTTTTTTTTTTTTTCCCGAAAGAAACAGGCAATAAAAGTTCCAATTTTTTTTTTGTTTAACTTTCAATAAAAATATCTTTTGGCTCTTGCTTTTTGGTCTATCATTCCATCTAACAGCAGCTGCAGTAGCAAAAAAAAAAAAAAAAATGAACATAAAAGCAAAAAAAACCCTTCGACTATTCTTTGAAAAGAATAGCAAAACAAAAAAAATGACAAGTCAAAAGTTGTAAAACGGAGAGCAAAAAAAAAAAATAGCAAAATATCTCGAACATTTTTGCATAATGTCGACTAATTATTCGTGTTGAGAAACGGATGCCAATTTCTTCGTTCTTTTTTTTTTTTTGTTTTGCTAATTATTATAAAATAAAGTTTTTTTTTTCTTCTTTTATCAATTAATACATTTGTTTTAAAGCTTTCTTGTTTTCTTTTTTTCCAAGTAGTTCAATTGTTCAAAAAATTTTTTTTGTACAGAAAAAGAATGCGAAGTACAGTAGTAACGATGTTTAGCTGTTAGTGGGAGCGCCATATTTGCAGTTGATTTTTAACAAAAAGAACATCTGGTCAAAAAAAAAAAGTGAAATTGGAACTTTTTTTTTTGTTTTCTTCAGTCGGCATCAATTATGCATAAAACGAAACTTATATACCCATAAATAAAAAAAAAATTTTTTTTGGAAAGATGGAGGAGGAGAGGGGGGAGGAAGGAAGAGGGGGGCGGGGAAGGAAAAGGAACAAAAAAATGAAGAAATGTGCTCTGTTTGCTCGCAGAAAATCATAAAATTTTACTGCT